ATTCAGTTTTTACCTTTGGCTTATCACTTCTCTTAAACATCTATAGGGCCTTGAAACCCTAGACAACATTAAAATATTATATATTATCTATATGAAGCACTGTCTGATATTATACCTTTTATATTCTTTCAATTTTTTTCTTAACATTTTATTTGACCCTCTTTTTTTCCAAAGTCATTGTGAGTCAAGCCTCTCATGTTCTTAGTTCTAGCTTACTGCAATAATTTTTAATGGTCTCTTCTACTTTCTCCAGCATACTCTTATGTTTCCTCAAAAGCCTCTTCAATATTTTCAGAATCAAGTTCAAACTCTTTTTTTCTGTTTTTGTTTGTTTGTCTGTTTTTTGTTTTGTTTTAGTTGTTGGTTTTAGAGACAGGTCTTGCTCTGTTGCCAAAGCTGGGGTGCAGTGGCATGATCACGGCTCAGTGTATCCTTGAGCTCCTGGGCTCAAGCAATCCTCCTGACTTAGCCTCCTGAGTAGCTAGGATGATAGGCTTGTGCCGCCACACCTGGCTAGGTCTTGCTATGTGGCTCAGATTGGTGTTGAACTCCTAGGCTCAAGTGATCCTACCATCTCGGCCTCCCAAAGTGTTGGGATTATACAGACATGAGCCACTGCATCTGGCCTTCAATCCTTCTGAATGAGATTACTCTATCTAACTCTGGTTGGTATCTGCAATGGGACTCAAAGATACCATATTTATTCCTCTTTCCTGGTCTTGTCCATTTCCCCTGCCCATAATGCCCTCATATTTCCAAATGTCACCCATGCTTTAGAGATAGATAGACCAGGTACCATTGGCTCCACAAAGCTTTTTCAAATCACTCTTGTTCACATTGATTGCTCCCTTCTCTTCCTGTTTATAGAACTTACTTTCCTATTAGTTATTGGCCAGAAAATATTTTAGGCATTACAGTCTCTCACAACTACTGAACTCTATGGCTATAGAGTGAAAGTAGTTGTGGATAATATAAACAAATGGGTATAGCTGTGATCCAATACAACTTTATTTTTTTAAAAGCTGGATTTAGCCCACAGGCCACAGTTTGTTGATCCATGCTTTTGCTGACCAAAATTATAAACTCTGGAAAAAATATAAAAAGCAATTGTTTGAAGACCCTAGATAGCAAGCAAAGGCACATAGACATGACCCTGAAATAAAACGTACTGGCTGAAATCTAAATTTATCTTGTGTAATTGTCAAACATTATTCTGGGTGTTTCTGTGAGGGTATTTTTAGATGAATTAACAATTAAATTTTTAGTCTGAGTACAGCAGATTGCTCTCCTTAATGTGGGTGGGCCTCATATAATCAGCTGAGGGCTTGAATAGAACAAAAGATTGACCCTCTCACACATAAAAGGAAATTCCTCTTGCCTGACTGCCTTTGAGTTGGGACATCATTTTTTCCTAACTTTAGACTCAAACACGCTTCTTCATGGATCTTGAGCCTACTGGCCTTTGAACTGGCACTATGCTATTCAACTCTCCTGGTCTAAGGCATTTAAACTCAGACTATACCATCAGCTCTCCTGGGTCTCCAGCTTACCAGCTGCAAATCTCAGGACTTGTTAGCCTCCATAATTGCCAATTCCTTATAATCAATCAGTTTCTCTTTCTTTTTCTCTCTCCATATATCTTCTATTGGTTCTGTTTATCTGGAGAAACCTGACTAATACACCTGGTTTTTCCCAGTGTGTATTTATCAACATAGAGAAAGGAGTTCAAACAAGAAGTTGTAGTATAACTAGGCTGAGGAGTCAGAATTTGGAGCTTGGGGCTGCCAGAACAGTTAATAAAGAAGTGACCCATAAAGTAGAGAGCTCCAAAATCTATGCACAAACTTCCATTGAATTCTTGACTCTTAAACTGTGTATATGTGAGAAAAGGCTTCAAGGAGCCCAGAAGAATCTGCAGCTGAAAGGTTGAAAGAAATTATCAGCAATTTCATTATTTGCCTAACACTGGGTATACAGAGTTTGGAGTTTAGGTTCTTCCAAGTCAGAAGGTCTAGGTTAATATGGTAGGCTTTCCATTTAAACCACAGAAGAATCCCACTTTACGTGTAAGAACTGTGAACAAGGACTAAGGGCAATATTCTAAGAGTTAAACTGAAGTAAACCTCTTCTAAAAAAGGCTAAAACCAGTCCTCCACAGGATCAACTGATCTGCCAGAATTTAACTGCTTTCAAGTCTTCAGAGGAAGATACGAATTTCTATAATGTTATTCACAGTGTCCATTATTAAACAAAAAATTAATAGACGTGAAGAAGCAGAAAAATTTGACCCAGTATTAAGAGAAAAAACAGTTATACGGTAAAGAATCTATAAGAAAAGCAAATGGAAATCATAGAACAATACAATATATGAAATGAAAAATTCACTAGATAAGATTATTAGCACATTAGACACTGCAGAAGATAGGATCAGTGTAATTGAAGGCAGATCAATAGAAACTATCAAAACTGAAGTAAACAACAACAATAACAAAAGGATGAAGAGCCTCAACAACCTGGAGTCCCAGAGGGAAAGTGGAACGAATAGGGCAAAAAAAGTATTTGAAAAAATATTAGCTGAAAATTTTCTTAATGTGAATACATTAACTCAGATACATGGAGCTCAGCAACCTCCATGCAAGACAGACATCAGGAAATCAACACTAAGGCTCATCAAAGTAAAACTGCTGAAAATAAAACAAAATAAACCAAACAAAGAGAACATCTTAAAGAACCCAGAGATAAAAAGGTGCAATATGTATAGAAGAATGATAACAAGAATGAAGACCAAATTGACATCAGAAACAAAAGATGCCAGAAGACAATGGAAAGAAATCTTTAAAGTGCAAAAAGGCGGAAAAAATTGATGAAGTAGAATTATACACATGCAACAGAAATATTCCTCAAAAGTGAAGGCAACATGAAGACATTTTCAGATAACCAAAAAGCTGAGAGAATTCATTACCAGTAGAATTGTACTGTAACATATGCTAAAGAAGGTTGTAAGGCTTAAAGGAAATGATACCAGATGAAAATTCAAATCTATTTGAAGGAATGAAGACAACTAGACATAGTAGATATGAAAAATCATTTTTCTTTAATTTCTTTATTGAAAAATCAACACACTATTTAAAGTAAAAACACATGGTAGGTTTTATAATACATGTAAAAGTAAAATATAAGATAAAATAGCACAAAAGATAGAAAGTGGGAACAAATTTTTTAAAAATAGCAAAATTTTAGAATTTAACCTAACCATACTACAAATTAGATTAAATGCAAGTAAATGATACCCTTTAAAACAACAGCTTGTCAGACTAGATGAAAATGCAAGACCTGACAATATGCTATTTATAAGAGACTTCACTATAAGACAGAAGTTAAAAAGTAAAAGGCTGAGAAAAGATGTACAATAGTTTCCCACTTATCCATGTAAGACATGTCCCAAGACCCCCAATGGATGCCTGAAAGTGTGGATAGTACTGAACCCCATATATACTTTTTTTCTTTTAAATATGAAAACTGAGATGAGCTACTAAGTGAACAACAGGGAAGTAGCTTATACAGTGCTGATATGCTGATCAAGGGGTGCTTCACACCCAGGGAGGGGCACTATGAGATTTCATCACGCTATACAGAGTAGCATGTCATTTAATTTTTAATTGTTTATTTCTGGAATTTTCCACTTAATATTTTTGAACTACTATTGGCCATGGGTAACTGAAATCATGAAAGCTGAAACTGCAGAAAGTGTATCATGTAAACACTAATCATAAGAAAACTGGAGTGTCAATATTCGTAATACTAAACAAAGTCAACTTCAAGATAAGATATATTACCAGCGATAAAGGCCATTTAATGTTACCTGAGTCCATGAGTAAGGTTTAAAAACAAAAAAGACCATTTCATAATGATAATAGCTTTCATTCATCCAGAAGATATAATATTCCTAAATGGTATGTATCTAATCACAGAGCTTTGTAATACATGAAGCAAAATCATATAGAACTAAAGACAGAATTAGACAAACCCACAATCATAGTTGGAAATTTTAATACCCTTGCTCACTTAAAAGTAGAAATGTAAACCAGAAGAAGAATGAGAATTTAGAAGACTTCAACAACACTACTAACCAAATTGACCTAATTAATATTTATAGAACATTATACACAACTGCAGAGTTCACATTCAAATATACAGTAGTCCTAGCTTTTGCAGGGCACTATATTAAATAAAACCTGTGCATATCAAAACCTTCGCATGGTTCTAACATGCACGAGTTTTAATTAGGATGTAACTATGCCAAGCAAAGATTTCTTTAAACAGAACATTCACCAAGATAAAACATATGGGGGTCGTCATAAAACAAGTCTGAAAAAATTCCAAAGGATTGAAATGATACAGAGAATGTTATCTGATCACAATATAATTACATTAGAAATTGATAACAATATTAAGTATCTAGTGAATCTTCAAATATTTGGAAATTAAGCAATAGACTTCTAAATCCATGGGTCAAAAAAAGAGCATATACATAGCATCTAGCATAATGCAACCAAAAAATACTTGAATTGAAAAGACCCCTGTGTTTGGTTGAATATTTTTACTGGAGAAAATATGAGAGATCAAATAGGAAGTTCACCTTTATTCTTCTTCACTACTGGAACTACTTAGAAAAGCCCTAGCACTAGAGAACATACTTGCCTCTATGTTAATTTAAGTAAAAAGTATGTTTAGAAAGATGTTATGGAAATAATTGTCTATGGGTGCTGCCCAACATTGAGTAGTAAGGCAGATCCTTCAAAAAAAATCAAACAGGATGCTTCAGTCAGCATTAAATATTTTCAAACATAGAGATGATTTTTGGGGGTTATAACTTTTAAAATGTTAACATCCACTACTGTAAGTGTACTTTCAGCCAAATATTGCACATTTGAAAAATAACAGAACAGCTTCTCAAGAATTAAACTGATGTAGCTATAAAACACTAAATAAACACATACCTTAGCTGCATTGATAAAACATGTTTGTAATTGTCTCCCCAAAATGAGAAAATTTTCTGCAGCTGATGGAAGTAATTCATTGTAAAATTCCTCTGCATCTTCTCCTGGCTCCAATCCCACACAGCAATGGCTGAAATAAGAGCACAAGTTTGTGTTAATTAGAAGTTTACTGAATCCCCAAGCTTCTAGAGACACTGTGCCTTATTGAGAATTTTTAGTATGCTTCTTTTGTTGCCAAGCCAATAAAGAATTTTTGTTGGAAAATTAGTCTAACAACTTTCTAGAAAAGTAAACAGTGGTATGGACCATGCTTATACTTAGGTCTGGGATTTATATATCCTAAAAACCTACATATCAGCTCATTCAGGAAATAAAAGACACTTGTCTCACAATAAGGAGAAGCTAAGATTTCAGTGAATTGGCTATAATCATTCTGAAAGCCATAGGATACCTTAAGAGTTTAATTTATGAAAAGCATTTGTGTTCACTAATAGATTTTAGACATCCAATAGCTGAAAAATGCCCCGGTAGGATTTGTTTCCAAGGGATACATAAGGAAACCAAACACTAATTTCATACCAATTCTACCTTCCATTAGATCTACTTTTTGCAAAATATTCACTTACATATTCCTTGTATCAGAAGGACAAACAGCAAAACCTAAGTCTAGTAGGAACGCTTTACAATATACATTAAAGGAGAGAAAGTCACGTAAAGAAAAAGGTCCTCCTAAGACTGTACATGAAAGTCATTTCCTAGATACAAGTCAGAAGTCTCAATAATAATAATTTTTTCTGTAAACTAACATCCAAAACAGCCTCAAACCGAAGAATGGTCTCTATGTGTGTATGCCAATGAACAAAACCTGCTGTTTGAGTCTTTTCAACAAAATGTATGGACACTAATAAGCAATAACAACTAAGGCCGGGCGCGGTGGCTCAAGCCTGTAATCCCAGCACTTTGGGAGGCCGAGGCGGGTGGATCACGAGGTCAAGAGATCGAGACCATCCTGGTCAACATGGTGAAACCCCGTCTCTACTAAAAATACAAAAAATTAGCTGGGCATGGTGGCGCGTGCCTGTAGTCCCAGCTACTCAGGAGGCTGAGGCAGGAGAATTGCCTGAACCCAGGAGGCGGAGGTTGCGGTGAGCCGAGATCGCGCCATTGCACTCCAGCCTGGGTAACAAGAGCGAAACTCCGTCTCAAAAAAACAACTATGTACTGAGCATATTTAAAACCTAAGTAATCAATGGCAGATGGATAAAGAAAATGGTAAATTTCTTTGGGGTGGTACATATACACCACGTTCTTTTTCATGCAGCCATAAAAAAGAACAAGATGTCCTTTGCAGCAACATAGATAGAGGTGAAGGCCATTAACCTAAGGGAACTAACACATGTACAGAAAGCCAAATACTGCATATTCTCACTTATAAGTGAGAACAAACACTGAATATATATGACACAAGGAAGGTAACAACAGACATTAGGTTTACTTGAGGGTGGAGGGTGAGGACCAAAAAACTTCCTATTGGGTACCATGCCTACTACCTGTGTAATGAAATAATCTGTACATCAAATCCATGTGACATGCAATTTACCTATAAAACAAACTTGCACGATACCACTGAACCTAAAATAAAAGTTAGGAAAAAAATCCTAAGTGGCTAATGTTTACATGTTGAGTTTTTATTTATTTATTTTTGCTTATTTTCTAAAATTAATGGACTAATAGTCACATGTATATCAGCCTTTCTTTTCTCTTTAGTTCCTAAAGTTAATTCCTTAAGAGTATCTATTTTGAATGAGAGGATTAACAAATGAAATTATGTTTATTTGTGCATTCATAAACATGGGAATTTCTTAAGTCTTGAATTCTACTCCAGAGAGGCCTGGTTTAATCAATATCATCATAAACTAACATATCTAATAAAAAAAAATAAGGCTTTATTTACTTAAGAAAATCAATCTTGAAAATTAAAGTATGGAAATGAATATTACATATATTTTTTAACTGGTTCTTTGTAACTATTTGGCCTTTACCAAGTAACACAGTAGGATTAAGCAGCTTAGAAATCTAGTATCCAAGATAAACCATTTCAGTGGGAATAGTTTATTAAACTCAAATGGCTTATCTAGGAAATACAAAAAACAAAAAAAGAAGGCCAGGATCCAGTTAGTAAATGCATATGTTCAGTTACTTAATCAGGAAGTAGCTAAGGCACTAAGAACATCTGGTTTATTTTACTACTCCCTTTAGAAGAATGATGTTTATTTCTTTTCTACTAATATCTAGCATGGCAGTAGATCAGTAAATGCTACTTCTAAATTTTATTGACACTATTTGGGTTGCTTAATGAAATATACAGTTGACACCTAAATTGATATAGTGAAATGAATGTTTCTTTATTGGTTCTCCTATAGTACTTTGCTTGCATACTTTCATTTTAGCACCAATTTCATCCTGTTTTGTATCATATACTTACATGACTGTCACCCAATCTCTATTATAAGTTTCTCAAGTACAGAGCCAGTGCTTTAATTTCTTCACTTCTATAAATATTTCTTAGTCAATAAAAAGTATATTAGGCACTTGGAATTCAGTGGTGAGAAAAAAAAATGATCACCATCTTCATTAAGCTTGTGGAGGAAAATTTTAGACAATTAAAGAATCTCAAATAAAGTTATGAACAATACATGTAGTATGAAGGAAAAGTACAACCAAAACCTACAACAAGAGGTTGCCAATGCTTTTTAGGCAGATAAAAAAGCAAATGCTGAAAATCAGAATCAACTGCTATATCCCTCAAGAACAAGCTGACCTACTGCTTCATTTTACCTTAATATCTGTGTAAGCTGGGAAATGGTAGTCCAACCACCCTGGATTCGAGAACAGTCTTGACTGAGGACCAAGAGGCAATATTGAATGAGATCATAACAATATATATCTTGTTTGATTTTCTTCAACTCTGAGCTTCCTAAAGGTGTGTTGTTTATTATTTCTAGGGCAAAAGGAAATAAGATATACTTATTTTTGCTCAATACATCCAGGCGTTATTTGTATTTTCATATGTTGAATAATTACTAAAAATATATTAGAACAAAAAATCACTGTTCTATCACAGTGTTAAGATTTCTCTGGACAAATTTTAAAGAAATGTTAAAATTGTACCAATGATGGAACTGTTTTTCACTTAAAGTGCTATCTAATCACAAAAAGATTTCCTTACCTTTTAACTTCAACAGTATAACAGGGACATTCTGCTCAGGACTTTTTGCAACTTCAGCAGCTATAGATAAGATCCTTGGGTCTGTACCTGTTGGCTTCATTTCTTATATTATCTATCTTTTAACAGAATCAGAGAATAAAGGTCAAAAAGCCATAAATGTTTGAAATATAATTTTAATATAAATAAAAACAGCTTTTCTTGCCTTGTTTGAGAAACAGTATATAGATTTTCCTTTAATTTCTTTCTTATAGTAAACTGGTTTTTCACACAAGTGTAACTCTAAAAGAGCTTAAGATTCCAATACCTCACATGTGACAGCTATAGCAGATACTGTTTATTGTGCACTCACTAAGAGTCAGGAACCATGATAGGAGCTTCACATTCTCTCTCTAATCTGCACAATAATTCTAGGATAGGAATTAACTTTCTTTAATCATACAAGAAAAACTACAAAAAAGAGCTAACATGACAGGCCTAAGACTACTCTTTTCAAAGGTGTGCTTACAAGGTTGGCCCTTGGCTGGCATCTAGAACTTGGATTTCAGGAGGGTTTCTACCATTCTCTGATAACAGTGGCTCCCTGTGCCTACTGTTTATGAAAAACAATGTGGCTCATGCTGAACGCCTGCTTTTCTTCCAGTGAATCTTAGAATTCTGATACATACCAGCCAAGAGTACCTATATACAAGGTGCCTATGTGGCCATCCTCCAATAAAAATTCTGATCACTGAGTATCTAGTTGAGCTTCCCTGGTAGACAACACTTCAAACATGTGGTCACAGCTGGGTGCTGGAGGAATTAAGCATGTCCTATGTAACTCCACTGGGAGAGGACTCAGAAATTTATACCTGATTTCCTCTGGATTTCACCCAATATGCTTTTTCCTTTTGCTGATTTTGCTTTATTTCCCTTCACTATAATAAATCATAGCTGTAAGCACACTAAATTCTGAGACCTGTGAGCCCTTCTAGTGAAACACTGACTTTCAACACACTAATGCTCAGAAATGTTACATAAATATAAGCTGATAAAAGATTACTTCTAAATAGTACAGTGAATAAGGCCAGGCATGGTGGCTCAAGCTGTAATCTTGCACTTTGGGAGGCTGAGGCAGATGAATCACTTGAGGTCAGGCATTCAAGACCAGCCTGGCCAACATGGTGAAACCCCATCTCTACTGAAAACACAAAACATCAGCCAGGCATGGTGATGTGTGCCTGTAATCCCAGTTAGTTGGGAGGCTGAGGCAGGAGAATAGCTTGAACCCAAGAGGCAGAGGTTGCAAGATCACACCACTGCACTCTGGCCTGAGCAACGGAACTCGACTCTGTCTCAAAATAATAGTAATAAATAAGTAAATAGTATATTGAATAAAATCAATTGTCCCTAACATTAAAAAAAGAAAAAGGTCCACATCCTAATTTGTTGCTAAAACTTTCTCTATGTAAAAAAGTTTAAGGAAGGAGAATCACTTGAGAATAGGTGTTTGAGACTAGCCTGGTCAAGAAAACAAGACCCTGTCTCTAAAAAAAAAAGTTTTAAAGCATTTGAAGCTCAAAAATATCCTCACACAATAAAAGCACATTTCCTTATTTATAATTAATAAAGCTAACATATGTTGTTTAATATGAGCTAAGCACTGTGTTAAATGCTTTTACATATATTGTGTTATCTAATCCTCACAACGGGACTAAGAAGTAGAATGTGTGATCATCACCATACATACATATATACACATACATATACATACACATATACATATATATGTTTTTGTTAACAGTTCCTGGCTCGTAACTCCCATAGCCTTTGTTGTAGTCTTGTTATGTTAGGATGCTTTAGGCCTTGGAAAACAGAATCTATCTGTGACTTTTTTCTCTTCCCCTTTCACCTGCTCCTTCTCCCCAAAGCAGAACTTTAATTGTCCCTGCTGTTCTCTGACCTATCTTGTCTGGCTGTAGGTCATAAGACTCCCGTTTCAGAAGGGGTCTTGCCCTATATACTAGAAGGAATGCTGCACAGAGAAGCCAAGAAGAATCTGAGCAGACAGGCCTTGCTGGGTTTTCCCACTCAGTCTATTAGTATTAGTTTGTATCTTTTTTGTCCAATCACATTTCCAACATGATTGTCCATGCTTCAGTCATGCTTATCCAATGAAGTCTCCATAAAAGGCTTGAGGATGGGGTACAAAGAGCTTCTGGACAGCTGAACATATGGAAATTTCTAGAGGAACTTCCTAGATAGCACACCCAGCGAGGACATGGAAGCTCTCTGCCCCTTCCCATACTTCATAGTATGCATCTCTTCATTTGTATCCTAATTTTTTTTGTTGTTGTTGAGACATGGTCTCACTTCTATTGCACAGGCTGGAGGGTAGTGGTACAATCATGGCTCACTGCAGTCTTGACTTCTGGTTCAGGTGATTCTCCCACCTCAGCGTCCCAAGTAGCTAGGACTAATGATGCAAGCCATGATGCTTGGCTAATTTTCTGTATTTTTAGTAGAGACAGGGTTTCTCCATGTTGCCCAGGCTCTCTGTAATATCTTTTATAATAAACCGGAAAACATGTTTCCCTCAGTTTTGTGAGCTGCTCTAGCTTAATCCACCCCAAGGAAAGGGTAGTAGTATTCCCCATGTGTAGCTGGTCAGTCAGAAGCACAGGTAAAACAACCCAGGGTTGCAACTGGCATCAGAAGTAGGGGCCACTCTTGCAAGACTAAACCCTAAACCTGAGGGATCTGACCCTATCTCCAAGTAGACAGTGTCAGAATTGAATTAGAGAATATCCAGCTGGTGTTTGCTGCAGAATTGATTGCTTGCTTGTTGGTGGGAGAATTCTCCACACATCTGGTCCCAGAAGTCTTTTGTGTTGATTGTCATGATTGAGAGCAAAAACTGCTTTTCCATTCATATATCTCTTACTAGGTACAATATAAATCATTAAAAGACAGGTTTGCTGAAAATACTTTAAAGAAAGCCCAGTGTAACTCCTGGCACACAGTAGTCACAAAACTTTCCAAGAGAATGCATATAGTTATCTCATTCTTTCCAAATGGCTGCATTATGCTACACTTCCTTTTTAAGAATGCAGCAAAATATATTTAAACATCACCTCTAATGTAGGTCATTCAAGCTGTATGCTATTACAAGCAACGATGCAATGAATATACACATTATCTTTTACATTTTTGCCAATCTGTTAGATGAAAATTGGTATAATTTTGTTTTAATTTACATTTCTCTGATTATTAGGGACGTCAGGCACATTTCATGTTCACTGGCCATTATTGCTTTTATGTATTTTCTATTCATATCCTTTGACTATATTTCTACTGGATTGTCTTATTCTTTTGCAGAAACTTTTCATACATGAATAGGAATCTTTTTTATATTGGCTGTAAAATTTTCTCCTAGGTTGTCATTTATTTTTAAAATTTGACTATGGCATCTTTACCATAATTTTACAATTTGTTTTGAGTCTCACTCTGTTCACCCTGGCTGCAGTGCAGCGGCACGATCTCAGCTCACTGCATCCTCTGCTTCCCGGGTTCAAGCAATTCTTACCCCTCAGCCTCCCGAATAGCTGGGATTACAAGCGTGTGCCACCATGCCCGGCTAAATTTTGTATTTTTAGTAGAGATGGGGTTTCACCATGTTGGCCAGGCTGGTCTTGAATTCCTGACCTCAAGTGGTCTGCCCACTTCATTCTCCCAAAGTGTTGGCATGAACCACAGTGCCCGGCCATTTTTACAATTTTTATGTTACTGAAATATAACAATCTTTTCCTCTATGGCTTCTGTCTTTTGTGTCATGTTTAGAAAGGTTCTCTCTAACCCAGGAGCTAAGAAACATTCTCCAAATCTTCATGTATTTTTGGTTTTGTTTTCCATATATATCTTCAAAAGTAAAGTATGTTTGTGAATGGTATCATATAAGAATCTAAATTTTTAATGTTAAAGTTATTGATGGATTAAAAAATACATATAGCAGTCATAAATTCATAAGGTAACTAGTTATGAAAAGATACAACAGAAACAATCTGAAATGTCACATTTTCATGCACTATGTATACAGACACACACACAGGGAATCTTTTTGGACTCTACTTAGTTTCATTAATCTGTTTGTTTAGTTTTGAGCTAATACAACATAGTTCATTCGGAGAAAATTCACCTCAGAAGGTAAGCTTCATGAGGGTAACCTACCTATCCCTTAGAGATGATTAAATGAGTTAATACATGAAAGCAATTGGAACAATTCCTGGCATATAATAAGAGCTCTCCAAATGGTTATTATTAAAGCTCAGCTCTACCATCATACTGCATTTTAAGATCATCTTTGGTGGCTGCTTTTTTTTTTTTTTTTTTTTTTTTTTTTAAGACTTTGTCTCACTCTGTCGCCCAGGCTGGAATGCAACAGTGCTTTCTCAGCTCACTGCAACCTCTGCTTCCCAGGTTCAAGTGATTCTCCTGCCTCAGCCCCCCAAGTAGCTGGGATTACAGGCACGTGCCACCACGCCCAGCTAATTTTTGTATTTTTAGTAGAGACGGGGTTTCACCATCTTGGCCAGGCTGTTCTTGTGCTCCTGAACTTGTGATCCACCCGCCTTGGCCTCCCAAAGTGCTGGGATTACAGGCATGGGCCACTGCGCCCGGCTGGTTGCCTTCTTATATCTTTGGTCCACAACTATATTTCTAGTGGCTAGAGTAGTGCCTGGCATGTAGCAGAATTTACTAAATACATGTTGAAAGAATGAATTAATGCACAAACCTCAAGCATTCTGAGCCTTAATTTCTTGACTTTCTGGTTTTCCCCTTGTAATACAGAAAGCTCAGATTTCTGGTTGGAAGTCTCTCTAAAGTAAAATAGGCTCAAAACTGTGCCCTTCTGGCTACCATAATAAAACATCACTAAATCATTATTGTCATTATCAAACGTGTAGAGCAGTATGGTGGATGTAGGGGACACAAAGATTCTACACGAGACATACTCTCTGCTATTGTTCTGGTTGGGAAAGAAAAGTATGTATATGTACATGTGTATATACACATTAAAATAATATACTTAAGAATATCAGGTATATAAGATGATATAGATAAGAATACAGGCCATAAAGTCAGAGGACTGGGCTTCTCTGAACCCCTTTTCTTGGCTCTAAACAAAATAGCAATTCCTACCTCCTAGAATGATTCCAGATTTAGAAGAGAAGGCAGCCACCAAAGATGGTCTTAAAATGTAGCATAACTGTAGACCTGGGCCTTAAATAGTAACCATTTGGAGACCTCTTACTATGCACCAGGAATTGGTCTAATTGCTTTCATGTATTAACTCATTTAATCATTCCAACAACTCTAAGTAATAGGTACTATTATTTTTTCCTCAGTTTGAACAATGAGCATACTTAAACTCTAGAGAATGTAATTAGCTGACACAAAGCCACACTATTAAGTATGAAGAGGGATTCAAACTGGAGCCACCATCTGGCTTAAAACACTTAACTACAATATGAAACAGCCTCAGTACCCCTTCCAAGGGCAGGAATTACAGACAGGTTGAAGGAGACATAGTCACCTACCCAATAATCAATTGACAAGTGTGCCTAAGGCAGAAGTGAGGGAGTGCAGTTTGATTACGTAATTACTCCAAAAAGCCACCTGTAATGGAAACCGTCTGTAAACTTTCTCTTGTTTCTCCTCTAATTCAACACTTCTCCCCATCTTTACATTAAATTCATGAACTTTCACACAAAAAGATAATTATTTATCGATTTTAATGCTACTACCCTGTTGCCAGGCCACCGGTTCCGGCCCAGCTTTGATTCTTTGGGAATCACGTCCCTGTCGCCCCGCCCGTTACTGCCTCCATCGATCACTGTGAGGAAAATAAAAGGAAATTCAGTGCGATCCTGTTGCGTCTGATCCTAAATGCCTGCAGTTCCTATCTCTGAATCCTCTTCCCCCTCCTCCCCACCCTCCAAAACATCCCCGTCTCCAGTCCTAAGATCACAGGAAACTTCCTCTGAGAAAATGGTAACTGAGGTAACAGCCTCGCTCCCAGTCAGGTCCAAGGACAGAAATTTCGGGCCCGCGGGATTCCTTTACTCCAGATTCTAGACCCGGCTTTCGCGCTACCAGGCGTTGGACAAGACACTAGGCCCTGTGCCCGGACACTGCCCTTCCGCAGGCCTCAGTTTTCACACCAGATCTCCACAGAATGGGCGTGAGGGCAGGCCGATTCTCCCGTTAAGAGCTCTCACACGCCGGCTGACTTGTACAGGAGCCTGGGGTCTTGGGCTCCGGGTAGGCGCTCTGGGGCCCTCTCCTTCCCCAGCCACCACATCAAATCAGTTACCTCATCCTCGCTTCTCGTTCTTCCACTAAAGAACCCGGCACCCACGCCGCACCCACAGCGCGGCGGCCTTCCCGGGGCAGCTTGCGTCGCGACGCGGGAAGAGGCCTGGAAGCTGGACTAGGGCCTAGGAGCCAAGGGGCGGGGCGTCCTTTGCCAAGAAGCCAATAAGAACGCGAAACGCGCCCGGTGGGGCGGTGCGCGTCGGGCGCGGGGTGGAGTCTGTGGTGACTGGGCTGGCGGGATCAAGTGCAGTTGCTTTAGGCTGAGGTGGCAGATAGCGAACGCCAGTGGCGGAGGCAAAGTCAGAGCAGAAGAGTAATGATGAATAGCGCAGCGGGATTACCACACCTAGACCGTCGCGAGCGGGTTCTGAAGTTAGGCGAGAGTTTCGAGAAGCAGCCGCGCTGCGCCTTCCACACTGTGCGATGTGAGTGAGGACGGCCCGGGGATAGAGGGGGAGCCTCCCGCGATGGGAGTAAAGAGGCACAAACTCCTCTGTGTTTTGTTCCCACAGTCCGTCTTACACTGTTGGAGACTGCCGGGGGGTGGGGAGGAAGGGCGGGGGCCAGCACGGTCCTCTACCCTTCTCAGAGTCTTAGGGTGTCGGTGGAAGGAATCAGAGTCGAGCAAATGTGGGCACCCTGGGAAGAGAGCGTTGAGACCAACAAATAGGAAGGGAAAGTGTGGAAAAAGTCTGCAGAGGTGACTGTGGAGACCGACATGACAGGTGGATGATGCAAGGGTGGACAGGAAAATATTAAGGTGACAAATGGGAAGGGACTAAGGACCGAATGCCGGGAAGTTGAATGCCTTAAGGCTGGTGGGGCAATATTCTCTGTTTTCTTCACTTTTTCTCACGTCTGGCAGATTAGGGTTCTTATTTAGTGCGTTCTTTGCAAGGGGAGAAATTCCCAACCATCCCAATCATCTATATCTCTTTGGACCCCAGATTTCACTGAGTTATCAAATACTGATTATCAAAGTATTCGAGGGTATGTTATTAATTTCTTTATTTGGAAGATGTTTACCTCCCTATAATTTCTATCCTTTGGTTTTCTTTAGTGCAAACTTGTTTTAATAAAGTATTCTTTAGTGGAACTAGTTTTAATAATTTATTCTCTTTTATGTTGTTGAAGTAGAAAAAGGAGCTCTTTTGCTTTAACAGATGGATGATATAGATTCCAGGAAGGAAAATATAGCAATAAGTTTTTATGCGTAAGACATTCATTTTTTGCATAACAGCTGTCATAGAATTGTAGAGCGGGAAGGAAACTTCGAAATCACTGAATCATAACCTCTCATTTTTCTGTGGTAAAAATGTAAAGTAAGTATTTTTTCACTTCCTTCCCCTAGCCTTGCCCTTCCTTAATATCTTATCTTTCCACCTTTCTCAGTCATTCTGTCCTCAGGTTGTTTAGAGACCTTTATGGTTTTTACTCTGAAATATTCTATGGTTCAATCAAAACGACTAATTAAAACATACATTCTCCCAAAAGTTTATTTAAGTTTTAGACAATTTAGTTATAATATCTCAGAGTAAAGGTATGAAGAACCACTGGTTTTAACCTTGCAAGAATATATTTGCTAAAAGGGTTTTATTAAGCAAAATTAACATCCACTTGATAAAATAAATGAGGGAGATATTTGTGAACAGAAAATCTTCAACTGTGTTCCTTGTTTATTCTTCTTTATCATATACTCTCTCATCCAGCGCTCCCCACAGCGAAATAGTGCTGTGCTGGCTCTGCAGTTTCTCTCTTCCTTCAGTCCCAATTTCCAGAAGTGTGATATGGGTCTTCATCTGGTTTCTCCATGACTTTTTCTCAAATAGTGTCTCCTCTCTCCTTTTCCTTCTCAAGCATGCAATAGTCTTAGTATTAATTTTTCAAGTTGCAAGGGTTTAAGATTATAAAAACTTGCTTAAGAATATATTTCTGTATGATTTGGGTATTTATTCTCTTATTTAGGCCGCAAACCCCAAATTAAATGAATAAAAAAATTGCCTTTGAAAATAATCTTGCAGCTGCTTCAGAGCCTTTCATTTATAAAGCTTCTTAAAATTCCAGTATCCTGAAAGTCAGAGGATTAGATGATCCAGCTACAAGAATGAAAATAAACAAAGCAACAATAATAATGATAGTAATAAATAAACACAGATGTTTCAATACACAGTCCTGTGGAAGACAGGACTATTAGATTTTCAATTATTTTGTTGTTGTTGTTGTCATCGAAGCAGGTGTAGTAATGGCACAGAATCATTTTAGATTTATATAAATATAACTGGTCATTACTCTTGAGGACAGGTTCATTTCCAATGTAATCCTCACTCTTAAGAACTCAGAGTGAAGGATGAAAACTATGGAATAGTATGAAGCTGATGTTCATACAGATAAGGTGGACCTAATTTATAACCAACCCTCAAGCAAATGTCATGCGGGAGAAAGTAATATTCTGTCTTTTTTTATAGGAGCAATTCTACCTGTCTGACATAAAACTTCAGGCAAACCTGGATGTGAATCCTGGCCTCCACCACTATATATGTAATGTGATTTGGGGAACATTCTCTAAGTTCTCAGCCTCAGTTTTCTTATGGCTCAATGATAATAATAATATTTATATTTCATGGTTTTTGTAAGGATTAAATAAGATAGCATAAACAACCTGGCACAATATGTGCCACAGGGTAGAGAATAAATAGTAGCCACCATTAATGTTGAATAGTTATATTCATATGTGTATGAGAGGTGCTAATGAATGTAATTTAGTCAGACTTTGAAACAGCATTTATCAGGGTTTAGCAATAAAAACTATCAAAAAGATAGTCTAGCATGTGGTAGGAGGGGCATGGTATGGTCTATCAATGATAAGCTAAATGCTTAGCAACAGATGCTTTACTGGGTAGAAGAGTTTCAGTAACAGGACTCACTAGAATCAATTTTGAATTGGGAGTAGTACGAGTTTTACAATTTATATCCAGATAAGAAGGGAATGAATTGTGAAATCCTAAGTTTGTAAATGATGCCACTTTTTTGTGTCCTTAAATGATAAGCTAATGAGTAGTAGTGTGGGTTTTGCAGTTGGTTGAATTCATTCAAATCCCAGAAAATAAACTGATAATAATAATAATTGTGGATTCTTATGAAAATATTGACATTATGTGATGCTACAGCCAAAATAGTCAGAAAAGCAATAAACATTGGCAGAAAAAATGTTAAATATAAAATAGAAAATTATTTTCTACTCTTCATGCATTATAATAATTCCATTGTACTCCTGAAGAAAATAGCATAGATGAAAGACATCCAGAGAGAATAAATAAATGGTAAAGTTGGTGGTAGGGTTTTTCAAACCAAGGAGAACTGAGAAGTGAACTATTTAGTCTAGAATCATAGCAACTTAGAATACATTTGACATTTAGAAGCATACAGAAAGCATAAACATGAGATTATTCAACAAATTCTTTAATTCTAGAACTAAACTACTTGAAACTCAGGAGTTTAATACTTTAAAAAAATGTTCAACCCATAATTTTGTTGTGAAGATTGATAGTATATTGTAAAGAAAAAAAATTACTTCATAAACACTAAAACAGAGGTTGTAGATTAATAGCACATAGGTTGAGCTTGACTTTAGAAAAGATTTGTTTGGTCCACACCATTGTTGTTTTATCTTGAGTTAGTTGCAAACACCTAACATTCAGGACCATTTATATAAAAATCTAGATTTTCAGCTTATCTTTAAAAGTCAGATGGTAAGCTGGCAACATTGAGCTCATATCTTCTCTTGGTAGCAGTTGGCTGGAGCAGAGTTGTGAGATTGGGCTTATTTGTCCTCTGTGTCACTATGATTCCCATTGGTCGGCTTCGCTGCCTGGGTTACCTTGCTGGCCTCTCTAAAGCATCATTTAGCTGTAGTTAAATGACAGTCATACCTTCCAGTATTTTCCTTTGTGTCACTGTGAGAAAAATATTAGAAGTTAGAGGGCTATAGTTTTATTCAGGATGTCATTTCTAAGGTTTTAAATCTTTATCATAGAAAATTCTTTATTGTCAAATATTAATAATGGATGCTGTCTATGAGAACAGAAGTATATTAGTGAAAAATATGCAAGAAAAATGGCAGTCTGCCCTAAACAGTTTAAGAGTTTTGAAGTAGAGATGAATCTGACTCACAGAAAATAATTAGAAAACAAGCATTTTACACGTGATTTAACACCTTATATATATACTTAAAATAAGTTTAGAAGTGATTCACAGAAGGGTGAACATTATGAACCTGAATGAACTACAAGATCTCTTGTATATCCATTACATTAAAGGCACTGTGCTAGAGCCACTATCTGAAGGAATTAACATATGAGTCACTGTGCTTTAAAAAATTACAACCTAATAGGACCTGTCCACAAAAAGGTAAAAAATAGGCCAGGCATGGTGGCTCACACCTGTAATCCCAGCACTTTGGGAGGCTGAGGCGGGTGGATCAGGAGGTCAAGAGTTCAAGACCAGCCTGGCCAACATGGTGAAACCTCATCTCTACTAAAAATACAAAAATTAGCCAGGCGTGGTGGCAGGTGCCTGTAATCCCAGCTACTCGGGAGGCTGAGGCAGAAAATTGCCTGAACCCAGGAGGCAGAGGTTGCTGTAAGCCAAGATTGCGCCTCTGCATTCCAGCCTGGGAGACAGAGCAAGACTCGTCTCAAAAAAAAAAAAAAAAAAAAAAAAAACAAAAAAAAAAAAAAAAAAAAAAAAAATAGGTAAATAATATCAGGTAGTTTATGTTAGGTCTTGATTAATGGTATAGTAAATACTACAGGAATGGAGAAGAAATTGAGATTCTGGAAAGTACGAAAAGGACTGTACCCTGAAATGGCTTTGAAGAAGAGGGGACCTTGAAATAGAATGCAAATTCTAAGAGAGGAAAAGGACACAGAAAAGCAGAAGGGCAGACCATAGGTATTCCAGTAGTTTAGCTGTTTGAAAACTAGCTTGCCCACAGCAAGAATGGAAGGGGATGGTTTGAAAAATATTAAAGAGGTTATAATAATTAAACGATGAAGGACACAGAGGAATATTTAGCATAATACTTAGATTGATGAGCAGAACTTTGAAGGATAGTTGAAATTAGAAAGTTGAGGGCCTGACAGCCACAATGACTCATGCCTTTTATCCCAGCACTTTGGGAGGCTGAGGCAGGCAGAACACTTGAGGCCAGGAGCTCAAGACCAGCCTGGCCAACATGATGAACCCCATCTCTACCAAAAATATAAAAAATTAGCTGGATGAGGTGGCACGTGCCTGTAATCCCAGCTAGTCTGGAGATTGAGGCAGGAGACTCACTTGAACCCAGGAGGCGGAGATTGCCATGAGCTGAGATCGTGCCACTGCACTCCAGCCTGTGGGACAGAGTGAGAGAGACTCTGTCTCAAAAAAAAAAAAGAAAAAGAAAAAGAAAAAAGAAAGTTGAGGATCAACAAAGTCCACTAGTATGGGCACCCACATAGGGCATGATGATAACTTATTTATAAATAGTGAAAGATTTTATGTGGCAGTTACTTCTTTTCTACTGTATATATCCATATAAAATGACTTTGGTTCTTATTTTAGATTCACAAATGGTATTTGCTAGCCCAAACTAAAATTTTTTTCTCTGTTTGTTGACATTGATATATCTTGGCCAACCTCTCGTCTTTTTATTCTAACTGGATTTTCTCGTTCTTTTTTCTAGCTTTAGAAAACATTAGTTGCATGATCTTGGGCAAGGAACTTAATTTTTTTCCAACCTCACTTCCCTTATCTGTAAGATAGGGATATTCACTACTTTTCAGGATTGGTGCGAAGCTTCAAAGTAAAAATCATCAGGAAAAACATTTAAAATTGATCAGCATGTAATAGCTGTTATTATTGTTGTTTTGTTCATATCTGTGTTCATTCTCTTAGGTTTTCTGGCTTTTCTCCTACTTTATCTCTGTGATACTTACTCAAGTTCAGTTCTATTAATTTTTTTCCCTCAATAGCACTGTCCTTTCAACAATTGGCGTTAACAATTATTTCTTTCAGTGTAAACCCTCTTTCAAGCATCTAAAGCTTAACACCTTATTTATACCTTTCACTTTTCTCACCTTAGCCCTACTAACAAACTCCTCAATTTATTTTCAGTCTAACCTTTATCCTTTGATTCTTCAGTTATACTTTCTAGGGATACATTGTAAATCAAAACTCTTACACATTTTTCATATTGCTTATGTTATTTTTATATCTGTATCTTAAAATCTATGAATAAGCATCAAGATTTTAAGAGATAGTTATTACATCTATTCAGTTTTGAATTAAAGCAGCATGAAGAATAAACTATATTATAAAAATATTTTCTGGAAATTGTTTATATTCATTGACGTTTATGTTTATTTAAGGAATAGAGGAATAGATTTAATTTTTTGAGAGTTGTTATGAGAAGTAAATATGAAGTGTTAAGCATGGTGCCTGGCATTCAGTAAGTGTTCCATAAATGTCAGCTATTTTAATTGTCATTGTAAAGCAGGGCCAGCCTTTGTTTATTGACAGAGCAATAATTTGATGAGTGTTCGAAGATTCTCCTTTCCCAAGATTTGCTAATTATAGTTTCCTAAATTCCACTTATAAATATCTATTACTTTGGATTTAGACTTTTTGCCTTTGGGGCCTTTTTGTTAATATGAAAATGAATCTTTTGGAACAACACATACCTGGAAGGGGCCTCTATGGAGCTGGTAATGTTCCATTTCTTCATTTGGCTGGTGATTACATGTGTCGCTTTGTAAAAGTCAAAGCTTAATTTTTGTTCTCTTTTGCATGATACAATATTTTAATAAGGAGTTAATGTAAATATACCATGGGGAGCTATATAGCAGAATTATTAGTCATTGATGTATATTGATATGAATTAGTTTTAAATGACTTTAGTTACTTAGAGGTTTTTAAGATTGTTTAACATATGGAATATCTTAGTACCTTGAATTCCTTCTAGATGATAGATTATAATGGCATCATTTGAACTATGATTTGACTCAAAATTAATTTTTATTTTAAGGTCTTCTAAAGTGACAGAGTTGGTTAAATTATAATCATTTAGTGGCGTATATATTCATGAAAAAACTGTTAAACTAGAAAGATTACTTTTTCTTAAGTTTCTTCATGAATATGTACTGTATTTGCTATGTATTCATTCATTTTGTTCTGCTAGAATAACAGACAAGTGGTAGTAGGCACCAAAGGTGCTTTAAAAAAATTTCACGGGCCAAAATTCATGAACTAAGTCAACAGCCATTAAAAATAACATAAAATGGCCAAGTGCAGTGGCTCACACCTGTAATCCCAGCACTTTGGGCAGCTGAGGCTGGCGGATCACCTGAGGTTAGGAGTTCAAGACCAGTTTGACCAACATGGAGAAACCTCATCTCTACTAAAAAACAAACAAAAAAAATACAAAATTGGCTGGGCGTAGTGGTGAATGCCCATAATTCCAGCTACTCAGGAGGCTGAGGCAGGAGAATTGCTTGAACCTGGGGGGTGGAGGTTGTGGTGAGCCGAGATTGTGCCACTGTACTCCAGCCTGGGCAACGAGCGAAACTCCGTCAAAAACAAAAAACAAAACAACAAAAAAAAACAATAAGAAAGAAAATTTATAGGGAAAAAGGACTGAAAATTGAAAACATTCTACTTGCATCAGTTTTGTAGCAAGTTGTGAAAACATGGACATTATTTAGTTTTTAGCAGTAGAATATGTCAGTCAGCTTCATTTTGGCCTAAACAGGATTCTAAGAGAGCATGAATGTCAGTAATTCTGTTTTAGAGTATAGCTATTTCTTTTTTCTCAGAATTATGCACACAGAAATAAACTAGATTGTATTTTGTTTGTTCATTTGTAATATGAAGACTTTAAACAATTTTAATTACAAAGCTCTTGAAAAATGATTTATCATTCCAAAACATGCTCATAATTTTTATATCCAAATATTGTTATTTTTATAAAAATTGGTATTTGTATCTATTTTTAGATGACTTCAAACCTGCTTCTATTGACACTTCTTGTGAAGGATACCTTGAGGTCGGTGAAGGTGAACAGGTGACCATAACTCTGCCAAATATAGAAGTGAGTATTTCTACATATTTAAGGTGATCATTTTTGTGGGATTCTCAGTAAATTTAAATGAAAATAATTGCACAATTTATGAAGTGATGATTGGTTAAAGTAATTAATAAGCACAGCAAAGCAAAAGCCATATTTTAAACTACTTTAAGCAAAAAAAAAAAAAATCTCGAAATACTTTAGTCCATTTAATAGTTCTAAGAACTATCATAGCAATTGATTTGAAAAAAATTAGAGGTCTAACCAAATATTTATTAAATTCCTATTATAAACCAGATTGTATACACTGACCTTAGGATAATTAACATATCCCTTGCCTTCTAGTCCTAATCTTTTACAGCAGACAGACACGTAAGCATCTAGTGTTGTAAGTTAGAGCATATAAAAAATTCTGTGTAACCACATTAGAAGCAAATACTCTGCCTGCTGGAATCTTGAAAAGCTTCATTAAGCAAGCAATATTTCAGCTGAGCCTTTAAAGGACAAGTAAGATTTTATTGGGTAGACAAAGAGTAGAATATCTAGGCAAACCAAACAGTATGTAAAAGGCTCTGATGCTGAAAGAACAAAGAGTTTGTGGAATAAGTGACTTTACATAGTAAATCATAGTATAACAAAAAATGGGCCAGGCATGGTGGCTCACACCTATAATCCCAGCACTTTCAGAGGCCGAGGTGGGTGGATCCCTGAGGTCAGGAGTTCAAAACCAGCCTGGCCATCATAGTGAAACTCCATCTCTACTACAAATACAAAAATTAGCCGAGTCTGGTGGCGTGCACCTGTCATCCCAGCTACTCAGGAGGCTGAAACAGGAGAATCACTTGAACCCAGGAGGGGGAGGTTACAGTGAGCTGAGATCATGCCACTGCACTCCAGCATGGGTGACAAAGAAAAAAAAAAAAAAAAAAAAAAAAAAAAAAAAAAAGGAAAAGAGAAATGATTGATAGCAACAGAGACTAGAAAACTAGGTCAGGATCAAATTGTGAAGGATATTTTATGTTGTAGTGTAGAATTTGGACTCTTTCTCATAGGTATCAAAAAACCATTAGAAATTTTAATATAGAGAGGTAACATGATTATATTTGTTAGATTAGAAAATCTTTCTTTTTACACTCCTCAAACTACAGCTGAAACTCCAATGATTAGAATTCTGATGATTAGATTGTGTTTTTGAAAGAATTTCAGAGATAGTTTGAGGAATGGTTTTAAAAAGAAAGAGACTTTGTCAGGGAGGCCCTAACCAAAAGTTTTGTCCATTTAAAAATTTCCATATGCATCCAAGTAACGGTACCAAATACTATTTGCATAAAAATACAAGTTATTTGTTGTATGCTCTGGTTTTCTTAGTCCTTGAGTTAGAAATTTCTGAGTATCCAGCTTAAGTTTTTCTTTTCTTTTATACTGACTTTGTCTATTCTCAGAAAAAAATCAAGACTGTAACTTTATACTTTAATATATGAAGAAAATGCTGGATTTTTTTGAGTTCTTTTCTTTGTTTTGTTTAATTTTTGTGATAGGAGTGGTTTTGTGCTAGTCCATCCACATTCTCCTTTATGCATGAAAGAGATGGCTTACTACGGTTATAGGTATAGCAAGTAAACTCTCTGTCCTCTCATCTGCTATCTTTTCCTTATTTTTATCAGTTAACCATTTATTGAGAGCCCACTGATATGTCATACTGTGTCAGTAACTGTCTCTGGAGATTTTCCTAAGGCTATTTAAATTTGTAGGGGCTTTTTATTCAATATTTCCACCTGTTCTTTCTGGAACTGAAGGAAATGAAAAATCTGTTTAGTATGAGATGTTGTGAATAAGTCAGTCTTTGTATTACTCTGTTATGAAAAATTGTTCAAATTCTAGTAGCTGTAAAACAATTTGGAAATTTAGTCTCTGGTAACCAAGGCGTCTTTGCTTTATGATGTTTATTAAAGAAAAACCTAAACCAACCACTGATTTTTAGAAGTTTAAAGCCTCACATTAACAACAAGAACCATTATGACATTGCACTCTAGCCTGGGCAACGAGAGCGCAACCCAGTCTCAAAAAAAAAAAAGGAAAATAGGAACCACTAATCTATTGTCTCAGGCTATATAGTATTATTGATCAGTAATGATTGATTGGCAGAATCACTTTAGTTGGATTTTTTTTTTTTTTGCCAAGTAAAGTATTGTTTTTTTAAGTTGCCATCCTCCTGTCCTAATCCTTTGCATTGTTCTTCTACTCTAAACAAATGGGGATTCTTACGTTTAATAATAAACCCTTGTCATTCATTCATATCTTGCTTTAACCAAGAGTTACCATCTTCCAGGTTTTGGTTATGTTTTCAATTGAAATGCCTCTTAAAGGAAGCACAGTTATAGGAGGCCTATATTTTCAAGCCAGCAAATTGTAAATTTCAGAAATTATAAAGAAATCATTTGGGAAAAAGCCACTACTACCACCACCACCCCTTTCCACAAGCCCCCAGAGATATGTCCAAAAAGGAATATACCTCAGTATTTGTGTGTGTGTATATGCATGGACAGTCTGTGTGATAAGCCCTATTCTAGGTAGCTGCCACTGGGAATACAGAAGTAAACTAGACACAGTCAGTATCCTGAAACATTTTATCATTTAATGGGAGAGACAGGAAATAACTGATTAAAACCTAGAAATCTAAGAACTATCAAAATATATACATAGATATTGTAGAAACAGGAAAGAGATATCTCAGCCAGGGTATAGGGAGGAGACATCAGGATACACTGAGTTTTGAAGATGAGTTAAAGTTACCCAGGTGAAGGAGAGAGGGAAAGATATTTTAGTTAGAGAAAAGAAAAAGATACGGACTATGATACAGCAACAAAAAAAAGTTCGTTAAACATTTGAAGAACTACATATAATGCCCAGTGGCATATATGTAGTTGCATATGTAGGCATATATATAGGCTAGGTCAGAGGGGTATATATGAGAACAAGGTGAGTGATAGATGATATTTAGGAATAAGATTAATGAAGGGTCTAATATATAAGACATTAATTTTAACTCATTTAAATGGTGAGAATCAAAGAGTTATTTATCACCACCTGTCAAAAGCAAATATTGTTTCTTCTGGGCATGTAGTCCTTGAACAATTATGAATAACAATGGAAATTACATTCTCAAATAGACTTTGTGAAGGGTTTCCCCCTTCACTTAAAGAACATCTTTAAACAAGTAGGAGGTTTGCTTTTCTTCAGTATTTTTAATTCTGTTGGTATTTTGTGGAAATGTAATGATAATTAGTTTGAGGCATTTAGATTCTTCTATTTTCTTTTTCATTCAAGAGAATTAAATCATTTATTGATTACACATGATAATGGATAATACACAAGCTTCATTCCCATCTATAATTTTATTTGGTACCATTATTAAATTTAGACATATTGCATAGGATGTGCCAACAATCATTTTTATAACCAATAATTCCATGATTTTGCTTGGGTAATCCCTTTTAATGGTGAACTTCAGGTCACAACAGTAACTATCAGTTCAACTACACCAAGGTTTCTGAAGACAATGGCATCTCCACCCAAGCAGATTGTGTATAAATTCCAAACAGAAGCTGGCATCACCCTGGAAGAATTCTAACTTCACACTGTTGGGGAAATTTACCAAGATGGCTTCAGAGTAGACTAACTTTACACAACACTTAAAAAAAAAAAAAAAAAAGGCATTTATTCAGTGTCACAGACTATTACCTTTAGCAATCAACAACATGGGTGCAAAAAAAAAATCTACATTAAAACCCTAGTCCTCAAGTTTTTTGCCCATACACATGAGTATTTGTGTAGCAATCAACAACATGGGTGCAAAAAAAAAAAATCTACATTAAAACCCTAGTCCTTGAGTTTTTTGCCCATACACATGGGTATTTATCTAAAACATATCTTCTTTGTAAGCAGGTAGGCCCTGCCACCACTGTGCTTGGCTGAGTTCACAAATCTGTTGTAACCTATAGCTTCCCTGTCACTTCTCTGACTCTTCTCTCCTGCTGAGCTTTGTTTCCTAAATAAAATCTTCTGCCACTGCCATAGCTACTGCTGCTACTGGAACTGCCATAGACACCTTGGTTTCATGGTTTGGCAAAGAATTGTCCTCCACCACCATAGGGGCCAGAGCTTCTGCCTCCAAAGTTTCCTCCCTTCATGGGTCCAAAATTTAAAGACTGATTGTTGTACTTGCCAAAATCATTGTAGCTTCTACCACCTCCAAAATTTCTTCCATCATTACCAAATCCATTATAGCATTCTGCACTGCAACCATATCCACCACCATCACGGCTGCCACCAAAGCCATCACGACCACTGAAGTTTCCTCCATGACCAAAGTTGCCATTCCCACTGAAACCACCTCTACGACCACTACCAAAGTTTCCAGAACCACTTTGACCTCTTTGGCTAGATGAAGCACTAGCCATCTCTTGCTTTGACAGGGCTTTCCTAACTTCACAGTTGTGGCCATTCACAGTATGGTATTTCTGAATGACGGTCTTATTCACGGAGTCTTGGTCCTCAAAGATTACAAAGACAAAGCCCCTTTTCTTGCCACTGCCCTAGTCGGTCATGATTTCAATCACTTCTATTTTTCCATACTGTTCAAAATCTCTTAGGTGATGTTCTTCAGTGTCTTCTTTAATGCCACCAACAAATATTTTTCACAGTTAAGTAGGTACCTGGTCTTTGAGAATCTTCTCTTGAGACAGCTCTCTTTGGTTCCACAAATCTTCCATTCACCCCGTATGGCCTTACATTCGTGGCTGCATCCACCTCCTCCACAGTGCCACATGTGACACACCCAAAGCCCCTGGAGCATTTGGTGTTTTGATCTCTCATTACCACACAGTCCATGAGCTTTCCCCATTGCTTGAAATGGCTCCTCAGGCTCTCATCAGTTGTTTCAAAGCTTAAGCCTCCAATGAAGAGCTTTCTCAGCTGATTGGGCTCTTTAGCAGACTCTGACTTAGACATGACGGCAGGGAGAA